TTCCCCAGCAATCAGTTCTTGCCTTATTCAGTTCTACTCATTGCTCCACCAATCCAATGAATTCTGCCTCAAATAACCATCCCTTGAGAAAACCACTTCCACTCTCGCTTAATCAAAGATGTTCTCTCAAAAGTAAGCTAACTCTGCTTTACTTCCTTCTAGGCAGTGCTGCCACCAACTCTCTACATCCCTCTACGCACTAAGAAAACTATCTAATAACATGCATTATTTAATACACTTTAAAGCAGAACATGCAATTCACATTAAAATCCTAGCATGGATAAGGCATATTATTGTTATACCATGCTAGGGATCTTCTCAATCTCCACTCAACCAAAACAAAATCTTACTCCTAGCAAGTTACAGAGTTTGCTTTGGAACTCAAGGTTTTAAGTAAAAGTCAAAGGAAGGATAGGTAGAAAAACTTGACAAATATTGTAACTGGAAATTTATATAAATAAATCCATTTGACATTCAACCCTATTACATGCTAGAAAAAGTGAATTTAGGGTATGTCTACACTGATATTTAGGGTTGAGCTTGAGGTTGTCCTCAACCAACCTAAATCACAAAAGCTGGCCTTCTCTGTCTGTGTCACACCTTGTAGCCCACACCACAACTATCCATATTATGTTTCTTTATTTTATGGAGAACATCACAGGTTCCTTCTTAGAAAAAAGTTTCTTATTACTTGTCTCACCTCCCATGCTTGTCTCTATTTGTGGGCTATAAATGGAGAACTGGAATGCAGAAAGGACAGAAGACAAGAAAATGAAATTATAGGATTGCTTCAGGTTCACTTCAGCTGAGCAAACAGGTGCAGCAAACAGGGAGAGCAGTTTGCAAGTCAGTTTGTTCCCCTCCTCTTTGAAGGGAAGCTTTTAAGCTTGGTGAGAGGAACCAGGGAAAAAAGGAACCTTTCAAGACCAAGGAGCAGTAAACAGCCTAACTTACAGAAAAGTTTGCTAGGAAAGGTCTGCTTGGAAAAAGGGCAGTAAAAGAGAAGGGGTGGATTCAGAGACCCAGAGAAATGACTGGAGGTTGTCACAATGCCAGAACCACTGCCATTGCCTCTGCTTGCACCTCTGAGGTGTCTGTCCAGGCAGGACTGCTCACTGTTGAAGCTTCTACCTTGTTTGGTGCTGCGAAGACTGCGTCTTGCAGGTTCCTTTCAGTGACAGTCAGATGGGGGAATGCCTGCAGCGTGAGTGGTACCTCTTCATGGTGTCCCTCAGGAAACAAGCAAGAGAGAGGGATACAAGAGATGGCAAGGCTCCAAAGCATCCTCCATCATGAGACCATCATCAATTCAGTGCTGGAGGAGACGTCTAAGACTGTGGAGGAAGGACTGCCAAAGGCAGTGCTAGAAAAGGCAGAGGACATGGATTCCCAGAAAGGTGGAAGCTGGAAGCTTGTGACCTCTGGCAGCAAGCAGAGATCTTCATCTCCAGCTGCAGCAGTTTGCCTGGAGAACAGATATGGAGCCCTAGCAACAGAGGAGGAGGAGCACATTAGATTGGTGGAGGAAGACAGACCAGGCTTCCCCAAGGTTGGAAGGATCAAGATAACTGCTACAAAGAACAAGTAACAGGTGATGGTTGTTGGAGACTTCCTTTTGAGGGGAATGGAGGCATCCATATGTCAGCCTGCCTCAGGAGGTCAGCCTCACCTCAGTCCCTGGACAAATGATGGAACAGATCCTCAAGGAATCCACTTCTAAGCACTTGGAGGAGGTGATTAGGAACAGCCAGCATGGATTCAACAAGGGCAAGTCATGCCTGCACAACCTGATTGCCTTCTATGATGAGATAACTGGCTCTGTGGATGTGAGGAGACCAGTGGATATGATATACCTTGACTTTAGCAAGGCTTTTGATACCATCTGTGACAAGGGGCCTTCCCAAGGTCGGTCCAATCATTGGCCCATCCACCTGTCTAGGGCAGTCCGCCCACCTGACTTGTCTGCCATGCCTTTGTTGGAACTGAATAGTTGTTCATAGGTGGGAGGCTTCCTATTTATTGCTCCGATGCCAAGAGTGTAATGAACAGTTCCGACCTCCCCTTTACCGTGTTCCATGCCTCACAGATGGCATCCAAACAGTTGACTCTCACTTAGCCCTTTCCAGGGCCGAATTCTGCCCCTATGCGGGGCCCCTTTCAAGCCCCATAACTGGGTCCCACACACACTGCCCCTTTTACTGGGTCACACTCATTCTTGCCCCACCACGGGCCACAGACTCTGCCCTACTCCATACAGCCCTTCAGGTTTCCTCTCTGTCACATTTGGTCCTGACCCCTCGCAGACCTTCAGGCCACCCAATTCAAGCCCCCCTCTACAACACAGCATCAGACCTGCCACCCCAAATTCTGGCCTGACTCCAGCCCCTGGCCCTCTCTGGCCTTGGGCATCTCACACTCAGCCTATGGCCCACTCAAGCCCCAAGTGTCTGCCAACATACCTGGGCCCTAGACTCTTCCCTCTATGGGGTTACCCACCAGGTAGTGGGGGCTGAGGCTTTATGAAGCCCCATCCTTGCCTTTCACTGGGGAGGCAGAGGTGTGGCATTTCTTGGGGTCTGCCCTACCACAGGCAGCCCCACCACACTATCCAACCCTAGCAGGGTGCAGTTTCAGGTCTTACCCAGGACTAGAAGGAACCTCCTCCGCCCCATAGTTCCTACCCTAATCTCCAGGTGTTCCAGGAGCAGCAGATCTCCAGTTGGGTGATGTTACTTCAGCAGCATCCCTGTAGCCGCTGCCAGCTCTGCTCTCAGGGCCTGGACTTATACCCAGGCTGCCTAGCCCTCCACCAATCAGGCAGCCTCCTTACTGTCATGCAACTGCCTGATTGGGTCTGCTCCCTCCTGCAGGCTGGTCTGCAGCCTGCTTAAGCCCTTAAAGTGGCAGGCACCCAAAGGTGCACTACCACACTGTCTCCCACAACATTTTTGCAAGCAAGCTAAGAAAGTATGGGTTGAATGGACTGTAACGTGGATAGAAAACGTGCTGGATCATTGGGCTCGTAGGGTAGTAGTCAATGGCGTAATGTCTAGTTGGCACCCAGTGTCAAGTAGAGTGCCCCAAGGATCAGGCCTGGGGCCAGTTTTGTTCAATATTTACATCAATGACCTGGAAGATGGGATAGAGCGCACCCTCACCAAGTTTGCAGATGACCCCAAGCTGTGGGGGGTAGTAGATATGCTGAAGGGTAGGGCTAGGATTCAGAGAGACCTTGACAAATTGGGAGGATTGAGCCAAAAGAAATCTGAGGTTCAATAAAGACTAGTGCAAAGTCCTGCACTTAGGATGGAAGAATCCCATGCACCAGTACAGGCTGGGGACCAACTGGCTAAGCAACAGCTCTGCAGAAAAGGACCTGGGGGTTACAGTAGACAGTAAGCTGAATATGAGCCAACACTGCGTCCTTGTTGCAAGGAAGGCTAACTGCATACTGGGCTGCATTAGTAGCAGTGTTGTCAGCAGGTTGAGGGAAGTGATTTTTCCCTTCTATTCGGCACTGGTGAGGCCATATCTGGAGTACTGTGTCCAGTTTTGCTCCCCCACCCCAGTACACAAAGGATGTGGACAATTTGGAGACAGTCTAGTGGGGGGCAACAAAAATGGTTAGGAGGCTGGTGCACATGACTGATGAGGAGAGGCTGAGGAAAGTAGGTTTATTTAGTCTGGGGAAGAGAAAACTGAGGAGGGATTTAATAGTAGCCTTCAACTACTTGAAGGGTAGTTCCAAAGAGGATGAAGCTAGACTGTTCTCAGTAGTCAGAGATGATGAAACAAGGAACAATGGTCTCACGTTGCAGCAAAGGAAGTTTAGGTTAGATATTAGGAAAAACTCTCTCACTAGAAGGGTAGTAAGCACTGGAACAGGCTACCCAGAGAGGTTGTGGACTCTCCATCCTTAGAGGTTTTTAAAGATCTGGCTAGACAAAGCCTTGGCTGGCATGATCTAGTTAGGGCTGGTCCTGCTTTGAGAAGGGGGTTTGACTAGATGACCTCCTGAGGTACCTTCCAACCCTAATATTCTATGATTCTATGACTACCTGTTCTGTGCTTGAAGCCTGGAGCTCATGGGTAATTTCCCAAACTGCAGAAAGGGCAAAGCTAGGAGGTGAACAGGGACAGGGTTGACCTTAGACCTCAAAGTACAGAACTTCCAGGCTTGGGATGGATTGTTGCCAGGGATAAAGCTTAGGGTTTAAGCTTGGTATGGGTTTAAGGGCAACCTTAAAGTCAAACCCTAACTATCAGTTAGCCTTACTGACCAAAAGGAAAGTACCTGACCAAAAGAAAAGTACTCCCCCCAGCTTGGCATCATCTGCAAACTTGGTGAGGGTGCACTCTATCCCATCTTGCAGGTCATTGATGCAAATATTGAACAAAACTGGCCCCAGGCCTGATCCCTGGGGCACTCCATTTGACACTGGCTACCAACTAGACATCATGCCATTGACTACTACCCTCTGAGCCCAATGATCCACCCAGTTTTCTAGCCACCTTTTGATTTTAGGAAAGCCGACTTTCATAAGCTCAGGAAGCTGGTTGCCAAGGCCCTGAGAAACCAGAATCTAACAGAGAGAAGAGTCCACGAAGACTGGTCACTCCTTAAGGATGCAATCCTTGAAGCACAAGGCATGTGCATCCCAGCCCAAAGAAAAGGCTACAAAAGGGTTGGGTGACCCCCCAAATAGGGGACTCATGAACCTCCTATACCTGAAAAGAGAAGCCTACAAGGGTTGCAAGTCAGGCAACATCACCAAGGAGGAATAATCCGCACTGGCCCACACCTCTAGGGAGCAAACTAGGAAAGTCAAGGCCGAAACTGAACTCAAATTGGCTATGGGAATCAGGGACAACAAAAAGTCCTTCTTCAGATGCATGGGAAGTCGGAAGAAAGTAGGAACAACACTGGACCCTTGCTAAACCAAATGGGGCAGGTGACAACCGACATCTAGTAAAAAAACTAATGTCCTTAATGACTACTTTGCGTCAGTCTTCCATCAGCCCAAGGGGATCACCCTGCCCAACAAGATGCAGGATTGCCAGGACATGGGCAAACACACACATATCATTGGTGGATACCTCGTGAAAGGATACCTTGAGAGGCTGGACACCCACAAATCAGCTGGTCCGGATGGAATGCACCCACAAGTGGTAAAAGAACTGGCGGACATTATAGAGCAGCCATTGGCAAGAATATTTGAGAACTCGTGGCACTTGGGTGAAGTTCCTGAGGATTGGAAGAGGGCCAATGTGGCGCCCATCTTCAAGAAAGGGAGAAAGGAAGATCCAGGGAACTACAGACCAATCAGTTTGACCTCAATCCCTGGAAAGATATTGGGGAGGGCGGGAAATCAAAGAAACCACTGACAACAGGCTAATGGAATGCAATATTCTGAAGGATAGCCTACGTGGCTTCATTGTAGGTAGGTCTTTCCTGACGAACCTCATTTCCTTCTACAACCAGGTGACACACCACTTGAACAAAGGAGAGGAGGCTGACATCATCTACTTGGACTTTAAAAAAGCCTTTGACTTGGTCTTCCAAGAAGTCCTCATGGTTAAACTGGAGAACTATGCATACCTCCAGGGGTACTTGGAAAGGGGCTAGGGGATATGCGCGGGCAGGCGGGAAAAGACAACCACGACCCACCGCCGCCGCCACCACCCACCACCCTGCACTGCTGTGTGCAAGCCCCCTCTGTCCCCCCAACTCCGCAACTGACCACTGCCACTCCCCGCGCTCCGCATCCAGCCACCACCACCCCCCTCCCCGTGTCCAGCTGCCACCACCCTTCTCCACCAGAAGTATACCCAGAAGAGGTACACTCCTTCAAAAAGGTTAAAAACCCCTGGGGTAGAGGAATGCACACAGGCAATCACTGTGAAACAGCTGATTGCTGTAAACTCACATCTGAGCTTACCTCACAATAATTTGTTTCTGTGTCCTTAGGAACTTTCAAAACCTCAAGGCTCATCTCACTTGGCTGGTGGGATGCCTAGAAATCTCAGATGTATAGTGATTGCTCCCTTACTTTTACTGAAGAGGGAAATGCCATGAACCTAACACATGTCCTTTTTTCTAAATTTGTGTCAAAGTTAATTAAATATGTAAAACGAAAACAATAATTCCCTTTCCTTAGTTGCTCAGCTTTTGAGCTTTTCCTTGTGTTTGTGATTATAGCTTTCCAGTCACCAGAGGACAGGAGCATTAGGCATGCTGCTTGTTTGATATCCAAGGGTCAGCCAGAAAGTAATGCTTCCTAATTTTTAATCTCCTAAGCAAGCCATGGACATGGAAGATGTTTGTCTTGTTAACTTCTTGGCTATGAGAACTACAATAAACTCAAAGGACCATGTGAAAACCCTGAAGAAACTGAAAATATTGCATGCAAAGAGCCCAACAGAAGCATGTCTGAAGTACTGCTTCTGCATGACAATGCTCACCCAAACACACCAGCTTGCATACCAGAGGCAAACTCATTGTTTTGGATAGACTGTGCTGCCCCAGCCTTCTCACAGGTAAGGGGATGCACTATGAGGGTGAAATTTGTGGGATGACAGCTAAGTGACAGAGGCTGAGTAACTGACTGCACAACAATGACAAGGACTTTTACAAGGTCAAGGTTGATGGAAAAGGTGACTATGTTGAAAAGATAGCTTTATGTTTAGCAGCATTGCACAAGTTTTTCATGCAAGTATAAGCAGACAAGGGTCTTTGGGTAAATGTGATATCTTTTATTAGACCAACTAAATAGTTGGAAAAGTTGTTCTTTACAAGCTTTCAGACACAAATAACCAACACCCCCATGCAAGTATACTATTTTTTCAATAATATTTGGTTAAGAAAAGAAAAAAAAAGTGTTACTTTCTGACCAATCCTCGTACTGAAAATGAAATGTGAGGTTCTGAACAAAGTGTAAGTTTCAAACATCTCAACTGTGAAAAAAAAATTCAAAATGTAAACCAGCACGGTCAGTCATTCTGCTCAAGTCTGCAGAGAGCCTGAAATAATAACTGAGAGATGAGAATTCTCCTTCCCCAGCTGTTTTATTTGAGTGTCAGCTCTACAGCCCCAAAATGACATCTCATTGCTGTTGGGATAAAGTGAGACAAGCTTTCAAATGCAAGACATTTTTCATCAGGTCTTATTTGGTGAAGGGATCCACATAATAATTATAAACCAGTGGTGCTCAGTCTTCTGGCCCATCAGGCCCCAAACCACACCCAAATGCCAGGATTGGGCCTTCAGACCCTGCACCACTCCTAAGTGCCAGGTTTGGGCCCGGTGCTCAATCCAAAAGATATCACACTAAGAAATCCTTGCCCCTCATATATTTTCTGGACTATCGTAGCTATGATATCACTCTTATACTACCATCTCATTACTGGTCATTTTAGTGGATGGAACAGGGAAGATATCGGGAGTGAAGACCCTCAGATATAGCAACATCTTCCCACCAGCTACAGGGAGAGAGAAGACTCAAAAAGCCAGCAGAAAAAATAAGAAAAAAAAAGTGTGGAAAGAAAATAAATCAAAGGGCAGAAAGGTTGACCAACTAATGGAAAGCAGATTATGTCTGAGATGCTGAACATGAAAGTAAAGAGCAATCAATAACTACTCTATTTGTTATTATACATAGCCTGCATCAAACCCATTATTCTTGGTGTACCTTATCTATTAATAATCAGCCAAAGACTCATTGTGGAACATGTAGTTCTAAACCCATGCCCAATCTATTGTCCATAGTTATAACCAGCGGTGCTCAAACCCCAGCCCTCAGGCCAGATACAGCACTAGGTCATCCAGCCTGCAGGGCTCTCCACAGGTCTGAAGATTTGACAGCAAGGGAGTGGTGGCACCATTCCCCTGCTGCCAAATTTCCGGACACATGAGGAGCCCTGCAGTCCAGATAGCATGGTCCTGCATACCGGATCAAGCTCTGGCACACAGAAGTGGTACTGGGCACTGTGGTCCCAATCCCAGTATGCGGGGCCCAAACTTGGTGTGTGGGAGTGGCACAAGGCCTCAGGACCTAATCCAATCATGTGGGGGTAGCAAAGGGCCTGATCCAGTACATAGATTGGCCCCATGCCATTCATCTGACCTGCAGGGCCAGAAGATTGAGCACCACTGGTTATAACTACTATTAAAAAACTACTACAAAAAGGCAAAGGTGCACTAGCAATTTCTGACTGTCATCATCAGTATAAAGGGAAAATCACTAATATTATTAGCAGACTTACCAGGAATTTCACTTTCACGGGGAACTGCCGGTCGCCCACCTGTAGCTATAAGAATGTGGGGAGCAGTGTACTTTTTACCACCAACTTCAACTGTAGGCTCTGGATCAGATGTAAAAGTTCCATAGCCACGAATCGTTTCTATGTGACCCTACAAAAATAAATCATAGATTGTACTTTTATTCTGTTAACCACAGAACTGGCTGCTAGGGACAGAAAGAATCCATCACATCACCTAGTCCAGGGGTGTCAAACATACAGAAGACCCAACCTACAGATCTGATTCATGGGACTGGAAATTCTGTGGTGGGGCGAGCAGCAGCAGCATTAACACCCAATGCTGCCAGTGCCACCATTTTGGCAGGGTCAGCATCCACGGGGTTAGTACCACCACCGCAGAATCGCCAGGTTGAGATGCTCATCGTGGATGCCTTTCAGCAGCAATGCGGCAAGCAGCAGCAATATCAGATGCTGGGGGTTAACAGTCAGCCCACAGCAGTTAATAGCACTGCTCTTCACCCCACCACTGGAGATGGGTCATCTGGCTTGTTAGAAGCCCCACAATCCAGATCTGGTCTGCCAGCCCAAATGAAATTAACATCCTTGACCAAGTACATATCTCTGCCTATGCAGTATTGCCTAATTACAGGGACAGAAGACAGGCAAGTGTCAGGCAAACCCCCATCAGGTCAAAAGATTAGTAGACTAGCTCTTTTGTGTCAGACAAGTGCTACACAACAGTTGGCATTCTTGCAAACAGCTAGACATTTTGGGTGCCTGTTCTGGATAACTTAAAGGAGTGTCACAGAAAGAAAGTGCTCAGAAACCACCTTCTAAGGGTCAGATCTCTGTGGTATCCTAGGCCTACGTTTACCTTTTAACCTAAAATGTTTATAAAAAAAGAGGATAAAAACTTTTATTCTGCTTCCAGAGCTATAGTACACTTTGGGGAGCTAAAGAAAATCAAAGTCCAGTAAACTAAAATACAACTAAGCTGGTAGTTGTGGTAGCAGTAGTGGTCGCCTTATGGCATGCTGAGGCATAGGAAAAGAAAGGTCTCTGTGTCATAAATTATAAACCATTTTTATAAACAAAACATAAGATTTCTCTGAAACAAAAAAGAAAAAGGTTACTAAGTATAATACGAAACTTCAGACAATCTCAAAATGAAAAAATCTTAGAAAAATCATGCTTTGGGTACTACAAAAAGAGGCAGCTTATAACAGAAGGCTGTAATCATAAACATGGTTCACATACAAGTAACAAAAAAGTTTACAGACCTTGTTTAAATTATTTTGATAGATCTCATTCAGGCGGCTCACATAGGCATCACGTTTTTCTTTAATTATTCTGGAATAAAAAAGTTACTAATATTATACAAGCGTTTTCTCTTGCTAAGTCAATTTTACTAGCTTTACAATGAGCAGGTCACGGACCACAGTCAATAAAGATACCAAAAAAAAAAAAAAAGATACTAGCCTTTCACCACATATGGAAAGTGCTCAACTATTTTTCCATCATTCCCACTAAAATCCTGTTTTTTTTCCCATAAAGAATAAGTAAGTGACCTTTCACCTGGTATGTCTTCCTTTTAAAAGCTATTACTCTTAATTATCTCCTTCTAGGAACAGGATTTGAATTATGAATATATAAGATTAATAACGAGGTCTGCAAAGGCCCCACAGATGCACACATTTTACTGCTGATTTGAGCCTTCAAATTCCAGCCTAAATATACAAAAACAGCCGAGAGAACAAGTGAACCGAAGCTGTGTGTTCCATTTGAAGGGACTTCTCTACGAGAATTGAAAAATCTGATATTTCCTCTGGATTCTAATACTCACATCCCATACAAACATTTTACTTGATGAGAAGCAGGGTACATTGGTCTTTGTGGAGCTCTGTACCACCATGGCTAGACTGCTTTCTGCTTTCAATACCCAAGCTAGCTCATTTAAAACCAGCTATATCCATATTACATCACAGTCACTTGGGCAGGCGAGCACATACCCTGCCACCTCACTGCTCCAGGCAAGTGTGCAGGACAGCATCTTGTCTCACCTGCAGTTCCCTGCAAGCTCCCCTGTAGTATCATGCTTCATGGGGGATGTGGGCTGCTGGCTCTCCAAGCACTGTGGGCTGCACTGCACTATGCTGTGCCACAACTGCGGTAGGAGTATGCAGCATAAGCCAGGGGAGGGAGAAAAACCCCGAGATCTCAGCTGCTGCTACAATCAGAGTAATAGGGGCAGAAGTGGCTGCTGGGTGGGAGCCCTGAGGCTGAATGTGAAACTGTCATGGGCCACATGCAGCCCATGGGCCACCAGTTGGACAGCCCTGGATACAGGAAAGAGTCCGGTATTCAATGCCACTTTAATCTTTAACAGTGCCTATCAAAAATACCACAGGGCATCCATTTCTACAGTTGGGCAGTAAAAAACATAGACCTCAAACCTGAACCTACTGTCAACAGCTTTTTGCTTTTCTGGATGAAGTAAACTGGAGTGCAGGACTTTCACATAAGACACCCTTGTACCTTTGGCCTAGACCTTGCCCAGCGCTACTGGACTACACCACAAGAAAGTTTATCACTCTGAGAAGACTGCCCAGTATAGGAACTAATGCAAGCTCCATGTTAAATTGAGGGTGGAGGTATGACTAGCTGTTGTTGCATCAATTAGATTTCAGAGGATTTTGGCTACTCCAATCCTGCTTTTTCTCAGTGTTCTTTTCCAGAATCAAGCCAAGATACAGCTGGTAAAGACAACAGCAGTAAGATTTTCTTAATCAAGGAATGGAGGGCTGCTGGCAGCCTACTGCCCATTTCATGTAGCATTCCAAACCACCTATGAGAGACATGGAAAAAGTCTGCAGGCAACTGGATGAACCTTGTTTCTCCTACAGTGTGCCACGTACATTGGAATGAGATGGGGGTGCAGGAAGTAGCGCACTAATTGCTATTATACATAAAAGAAGGTACTCTGAATGTAGTGCGCTTTAAAAATAAAACTGCCGGGCACGAGGATAAATGCAAAAGAGTGACCTGGAATAATACACTTCAGACTTACCGCCAATTAAATTTCACATCTGGCATTTCATACCCATAGTCTGCATGATCATGTATGAATTCAAAGTGGACAGCTGTGTTCCACATTACCTATTCCAAGGACACAGAGAATATTAACTTAGGTACACTTAATGTTCCTTTCTCTTATGCTGTGCCTAGTAATTCAAGATGAATTCAATATATGATTTCAAAGGACATTATTTTAACAGTTGGTCTTGTACCTTAGATCCCCAAAAACCTTAAGAAGGAAGCTACAAGTAACTCTGTGCACGACAGTGATGCAATACTGGCCACAAACAGACATTTATTTCCCCTAGTAGAAATCGGAGGGGAAGCAGTATAGACATTCAGTTTGTAGCTCCTCCCTTTCCCCTGTGCTCTGTGCCTTCCCAAAACCAGGGTCATCTCATTCTGGGAAAGGCAAGGAGTGCCTGCTCCACTCCTCCCTGTCCCCAAGGGAAATGAAACAGCAGAGAAAAACTCTCTGCACTTCCCCCGATCAAGGTCTGAGAAACATGGGGGTCTCCAGGAGCAGAAGGAAAAACTGGGGCATGGAGTCTCATATTGGGAATTCCAGAGTGAGAAGAAAGCAGGGAGCAGCTAGCAGCCCCTCCCAGTCTCAGGAAAGCAGGAGAGCCTTTCCCACAACTCCACTCCTCCTGGTCCCCTGGAGGCATCAAGCTGAGGGAAAAGCATATAGGGCATCTTTACATGTACTCTGGGGATGGAGGTGCTTTCTAAGAGCTGCTCTAATTAAATCGCCCACCAGGTGTTGTGCATTCAGCATCCCCATGCATCAAGATGGCAGCAGGGACATTTAAACTAAATCTCATTTGACCAACTTTAGTTAAAGCACCCCGCTGCCATTTATGAAGTGTGGGGATGCTGATTACATGAGATGTGGAGGCTGCTGGAGCATGCTGATTAGCACGCTCCAGCAGACTCTATTAATCGACTCCGCTTCAATGCACTTTAATTACAGCATGTCAGAGCAGCGTCCCCACACATCTATAGGCAACCATAGACTTTTGGTCTCCCAGGAGAAACTCTCTTGGGAGTTATTTAAGCCTGGTTGTTCCCAAGTTATTTTTCTCCCAGAGCAGCAATTTTTGCTCTGGGAGAAAAAGCTAGAAAGACTGCACACTGCGCAGTGATCCTCCCAGTAGAAACTGAACAGCTGTACATAGCCACTGTCTGCATACACATGATGACCACTGCACACTTCAACGAGGAATACAATATACTTCTCCCTGAATAGCCTCAGCTCTGCCCTCTGGTACAGGGAGCAGGAAATGATAAAGCTATTTTGCAACTTCTATGCTTGAAAATTCATGAAAATTCTGAGCAGAAACATCTCTCTCAATTTGACAAAAACAGGAAGAAAGGGAAAAACACTACCTTTTTTGGTACACATCCAACGTTCACCTACGAGAAAAGAAGATTAAGTCTTGGTCTGTATTTATAATAATAAAAGCAATGGTTTTGAAAATGCTAAGAATTACAGAATTAACTTAAGGGTATTTCTGTTAAATCAACATTTTTTTCCTCAATCAAAGCAGGAAAAAAAAAAAACTGTCTTTACAATGCAGAGACATCTACTTCTTGAAACTGAGAAGAGAGGTCTTAGGTTGGCTAGTTCAACTCCAATGGCCAGATCCAAAGATGCAAATTCTCCAAGGCTTGTTCCAATATGAGACAGTAGTTAAAAAACCTCGTATGCTGCTCAATTTTAAAGGTGTTTTCTTTCAAGAGTGTAAATAACAGTTTAATAACTAATTGATGGCACTTTTTATAGGGAATTCTGCTCAGTGTTGCCCGACTATCATGCAGCATCATGCAGAAAGCCACGCTGCCTCTAATCATAGAACTTAAGAGACAGGAAATCTGGATCTGGTCTCAGCGCTGCCACTGGCTTATACAAGGAATGTCTTTACATCTCATTTCCTCCACCTGTTAAAGCTGCCTTTCAAATTACTGGGTCCATTTCTATTTCAAGGACAAAAGGTCTGTTGTCAAGCACACCACCAACTTACAGAACAGGCACACAGCAGTTAGTAAGCTATACACTGGAAAAGAGCTCTGGGTTTAAAAGTGTTTGAAGACAGTGATTCATCATCAGACATTGCCGTGCCAACATGAGTGGCATCTAGCCTGACAATATAAGACAAAACACGTTAAATGGCTGCTTAAGTCTGCATCCCAAAAGTGATCAAAGCCCTACGTGTGCTCTTCCCTTCTACAGGCACAATAGCTCTCTCTACTCTTCACTCTTGCAGTCAAGGATGAGAAGAGCTGTGCTAGGCAAAGCCCAAAGTGCAGGTGTAGCTACTGCGGCAGCTTGTCTTCCCCTAAAGCAGGACTGCTCGACTTTTGCTGAAGCGTGCAGCAGGCAAGAAAATATTGTAGCTGCTATGAAGACACTCCTCTCCTTTACTTCCTGCTTAAGCCATCCCGTCTTCTTCACGCTTCAGCCATAGTGCTTCTGAGGTACTAGTTACCTTGTCATCAATAGCACCAGAGGTGGGTCATCCTAAACACGAAAAATAGTCTGGGAGTACAATTCAGTGCTGCAGCCTTCAGGTCTGGCTGAAAGGGAAGTTTGGCTTTTCCCTTCCAGTTGTCACTGAAGCGTATTCATATCGCCCAAAGGGAAGTTTTCAACAAAAACTCCTAGCTTTTTTTAAAGTAAGAGGCAAGCAAGCCAGGCAGAGCTCGCAGCTAACCCGTCCTCGATTCTCCCACATTTTCGCAGGGACAGGGAAAGGAAAGCTAATGGACCTGCTCTTCCCCGCTCCAAGGACACTTGCTCCTTTCCCGCCTGCAGAAGAGGGACGGTCCCGCCCGGCTCCCGGTGCCAACTGCGCCTCCCCGGGGGGACTGGGCAGGCATCACCCGGCCACCTCCATGTCCAAAGGCCCCCGCCCCCGCTGCCCACTCACGCAGGTGCCGCCCAGGCGGTGAGCCTCCACCACGGCCACGCGGGCCCCGAGCTCGGC